TAAAGGAGAATGGAGACAGACAAGAGAGATGATACCTAAGCGATGAGGGCGATGAGGGCGTCTAATATGGGGAGACAGCATGAGAAACACTCATGGGGAAAAGCCTCCAATCTGGGAACAGAATGGACTTCTTGTTTCTGAGAGGAAAAATAAAAAACAATTACTTATTCAAGAGGCTGCTAATGATGTTGGAGAGGCAATTCATTTCGCCCTTTTGAGGACAGCAATGTCGGTCAGGTGAAGAAGACAGGAAACAGAGTAGAGGAATTTAAAAAGAACCAGAGAGCAGAGTGCTTACTCACCAGCTGTAAAGGCAAAGAAGGGCCTTGACCAAATGAAGTGTTGATGGGGTTTGAAGTGATGTGAGAAGCAACATCAAGTGTGACAAGAGATGCATATCATAAACCTGCTTAACTGAGAATAACAAAGAGGAAGCAAGATGAGGGGCAGGCCAGGGATAAGGAGGGAAATGAAAAAGGGAAATGAAATTTGTCACAGTAAGAGGTACGGTAAAAGCACCCGTTCTTACAAGCAAGGTTTCATATAACCTAAGTGAATAAGCTGCAGTGGTGCTGACGGCCTCTTCATGAAGGCACTGGCACATTTATCTAGTGTTTCTTCTGAGTTCCCTCTATTCTCAGCATTGTGCAAGCATATATACATTCTCTCTTTCCTGGCCCTGCCCTCCTAACACCCTCTTTTCACAAAGCTCTCTTGTTCTTCTTCTAAGAAAACTGCTATGCTTGTTCAACTTCCAGTGCTGCTAGCCCCCTGGCAGCAAAAAATACGCTGGTTTATCACAACAAGGCCTTATCAAATGTAAATGCTGTAGATAAAGAAGCCTGGAGGATCTTACAGAATAGCTAAAAAACATTTCCACTTCTAGCTCAACTAGGGAATTGACTCCTTATTGTGCTGGCTGCTCCCAAGGAGATTGTGTAGGATGAAGCAGTAAAGGCAATACAAGGAGCAAATTAGTAAACAACTCTCCCTTAAAGCAGTTGATTTAAGACCAAACTAGAAGATATCCAAAGAGCTGAAAACTCAGTTAATAATACTTCTTCTGTAGTCTTGCTATTCTGATGAAAACGGTTCCTCTAAATGATAAATGAAATAAAGTCCTATGCTACTTACCTAGCTATCTGCAGCCAGTAGCTGGTATATCTTCAGGATTTTCACAGCACCTGGTAGCCAGCTCTGGTAGGACAACAGTGAAGCACACACACAGAAACTTCAGTGCCAGTCCAGGGCTAGTGGAGTCCCTGTTGACAGAGCCTTCTGTCCGCAGTATTCAAAATGCAATTATTCTTCGAGAGGTAGCTGTATGAAAACAGTGCTCCATTTCATATGAAAGTCTGTGCCCTTTGTGTCTCCAAGTCAGATTTGTTTCCCGAGAAAAGCTATTTTACAGTGACAGCTACCCCACTGCAGAGTCATTATAGCAAGAGGAGAAATGAAGACTTTGCCATGCTTGGTAATCTGGACTCTGTCAGGCCAGTCTAAACTCAACCTTTTGCTATCACTGGGAGAGACAGAAGAGAGGCTGATTTTCCACATCTTATTTCATGTGTGCCACAGCAGTCAGTCTTTGACTATAACAACTGAATAAGACACAATTTATTTCTACACAGCAGCTCTCACTTTTAGAAGAACTTCAGCTATTTTACTATTTTACTTTTACCAGTAAAACATTAAGAGATTAGAGGCAAATGGGCACATAAAAAGTCTGCATGCTTTGATGAGAAGCAATGGAATGCATTTCCCAGAGGTATTAAAAAATCAGCTTTTTACTTTTATAGTAAAAATGGTGCACTGGTAGAGCTTGTACAGAGTCCCTGTACTGATCTTAAATTATTCTATTTCTGTGAGTTAAAGCACACTCATCATACCCTAGTTCACAATCTCTGTGTAACTATCATCACTGATGCTACATGGCCCTGGGAGCCATATGTTAACATCACGTTAGTGTAAATCCATTACAGCTCGTGTGATCTTGCATTGCTCTGGGGTCACAGAGATCAGCATCTTTCAATGGGTTTTTTCCTCCCTCCCCTCTCTCTCTTCTAACTGTAGCATAAGCTTTAGTAGCCATCCCTAGGTATTTGAAGAGCAACAGATATAAAAGAAGAAATTCTTGCTGCCTCCACCCGGTAAAATGACAAGCTCTTCTTTAAAAGGCACAGGCTTTGACAGAAATATTCGTGTCCCTCACAGGTTTTGTTACTACATATTATAACAGATTACTTGGTATAGAAACAGAACTTTATATACAGTGCTTGGATGCATTAACAAGCCCCTGACAAAGAGATTTTATGTGGTTTCCTGATAACTCTTTTCTGGTGTGAAAATGTCAATAAATAATGAGAAGCCACTACTAAAAAGGAAAGACATTTTCTCTAACCAGAGAACTCTTGGGGATTTTTTTTTAAGAGATAGAGGAGGAAGGGGCAACTCACTGGTGTCTATAAAAGTGGAACCGCTTTTGTACTGTTACTTACTATTTTCACATTCAACCAGCAGTGAATTCTACCACTAAAGTTGCAACTGATGGAATCACGGCATTGATGGAATCATGGCCATGTCAGGGCCTCCCCGCAGCCACGGGGCACCTCCCCGCCCTACTGAATCGCTCCCTCCTCCCTCAAAGCACTGGGGCTTAAACGACTCCCGCGTTAGTCAGCGCATGGATTCGGGGAAGCAAATGGCTTACTCTACCCTATTACCGGCGCTCACGGGGCAAGCGAGGCGGCGCAAGGGCAGAAGGATCCCACCTCCTCCGCCCGTGGGATCTCGCCACCCTTCCCCAACTGTCCTCAGGAACATCACATCCCCCCCAGCCTCTGGAACGCCATTTATTCCTGGTAGCGCTGCTGTGTTTTTGTACGAAAGCGTCGTCCCCCTGGCCGAGTTGCTGCGGGCACTGCTCCTCGTCCCCTCTCCCCACTCCCCGTGAAACACCGCCTGCCGCCTCCTCCCCGCGGCGGGAGGAACCGTCCGGAGGAAACGGAAAGGATTCCTGAAGTTTCCAGTTCAGGAGCGGGAGCCGTCGGGGCGCAGCCCTTTCCCTCCCACCTCGCAAGCCTTTCACGCGGTAACACAAACTTTGGTTTACAGAAAGCAGAAAGTTGGGCTCACACCCTCCATCCCTGTCCCGGCACGGCCGCTGACCCGCCCCGACGACCCTCCTGCGCCCCCGGCCCTTCCCCGGCACTCACCGCGGCGGCGAAGGGACGGCGGCGAGGGGAGCAGCGGGGCGGCGGCCAGCCCACGGCTGCTTCCCTGCTTCCCACCACTCCCGCCCCACAGACGGTCTCTCCGCCCCGGCGGGAAGCGGCTCCTCCTCGCGCAGGCATGGCCCGAAGGCTTCCCCTTCGCCAACACCTCCCTTCTCTCCGTACGCCCAGAGAAGCGCCAGGGGTCCCTCTGCAGCTCCCACCATTTTCCTCAACAGGAGGCATCAAGTACCTTCTGTCAATCCCCATTCCCCACAAAGAAAACAGAAATAATATTCTGGCAGCCTTTTCTTGCAAGAGTGAAGCACACATTTAAAAGTCCAAAAGCTCAAAGGAGCACGGTAAGGGTAAAGCAAAAGAAGGGTGCAGAGGGGTGTGTTCACACAGTTTTGCCCTCCCTACTGACATTATATCCATTAAAAAAACACAGACAAGGGAGGCTTCAGTTGCATCTCCACATCACCAGCTTTCACTTATATATGCAACAGAGGCTGCCCAGGGATATCATGGGGTCTCCCTCTCTGAAGACACCTGGGTGCATTTCTGTGTCACCTGCTCTAGGTGACACTGCCTTGGCAGGGGAGTTGGACTAGGTGATCTCCAGAGGTTCCTTCCAACCCTAACAATTCTGTGATATTCTTGAAGCATGCATTGAACAGGCAGGGGAGGGGTTTGGTAATCGCAGTTTTATTTCCTCAGTTTCAGACTAGACAGTGCTAATACAGAAAGTACCATGTTTTACAGTAGCCACCATGCCCAAATCTAGAAACAGGCATATGACATCAGGACAGCACCTACACATACCTGGCAGAAGTGTATTTTATACAGAGAAGACACAGTCAGTCTGTTGCTTTATCAATTGTTCATCTGAGCAGTCACACAGTGATAATGACTATATCTTACATCCCTCTGTACATCAATAGAAAAAAATACACCCTAGAGAAGATAAACCAAAGTTCAGTGATTTGACATCTTCCAGGTTGTCAATTTCTCCTTGTCGCCCATAGACTAACTACGGGGGTTGCCAAGTACCATGAAGATAAGTACTCTGTATCTTACAAACGCTTTCAGTTTTGCACAGGACTGTCAAAGCTGTAGGGAAAAAACAAACAAAAAAAAGCCAAATTCTGTTCATTTGGGGTTTAACAGACAAACAAACCCACAAAACAAATGTGCTAGGATTCACAGGAGACTTTCTGATTTCACTGGACGTGAGACCAAGGCCTAGATAGGTACAAAAAAGTAATTTAAGAAAACTTGGAAATATCTAACTAAAATGAATTCTTTATAAATCTGTTGGTTATAGCTAACCAGTTCACCTACGATGACTACTAAACATAGAAAGGAGGAGGCCGTGATGCTTTGACCCAGATCCTTTGCTGAATGTTGTCTTCAGGCCTGAGTTTCCTTTTGGATTAACACTTAAAAACATGGAGGGAGTTAAAAAAATATTTATTTTCCTTCTTTGTTAACTATATAAACAGGAACTCCACAGCATCAGAGAGACTGGGCTTTAAACCATTAAGAGAAGTAGCAGAGAAAAAGGTTTAGTCTTAGAGTTTTGAGTTTACTTTACACCTAATAAATCTTTGAAATTCTTGGTACTTGTGTATACATCATTTAAAAACAAAGGGCCTGATCCTGCAGCCCTTATTCCTCAGAAAGTAACAGGTGCCAAAACTCATCAAGATGGCCTTTTTCTTTTAAAAAGGTCAGTAAAAGACCTTTCCCAAAAATCTTCGTTCGTGAAGACTGGCCATTATTAAACAGGACATGAAGCACAAACTTGTGTGTAGCACTGCATGACAATTACAGAAAGATAATTTCCAAATCTGCAAAACCTTCGGCATGTACTCAAGCTATACATACAAAAAGAAGTTACCAATGTCAGCATGTCTTCAGACTGCAAATTATATCCAATGATGCACAACAAACTCATCTTTTCTTGATAAATAAAGAAACTGCTGATCAGCACAGTGAGGAGAGGTATCTAAATCAAGGTGAATGGCCAAGCAAATGCAGAGGTATTCTATGCAGAATTTATTTTCTCTGCTTTAATAGCAGCTTCAATCTCTTCCATTATTGGCACCGGTCCCGCATAGTTATTAGTTTCAATAGCTTCTAATTTCTCCAGGTAATCAACTGGCAAGCCATTCTGTTTTGCACCCATGCAGATAACCTATAATCAAAAGGGGGGGAAAAAAAAGACTTCAGTAATAATGTTAGAAAGAGTCCTCCAAACATTTAGTCACATGAAAGAATGTAACAAGAGAATTACTCCCAAATAACGCTATTTGTACCTGAGGACAGCCAAAAGCTTCTGCGAAACCACTGAACACCTGAACAGTGTGAACAAAATTACTCTGAAAAGGCTTGTACTACCGCTAAGAATCTGAAGTGTTACTAATGTGCACAAGATTCTACAATTAAGCTGTATTTCTGTTGTTTCATTCTTTCTTCCAGTGAGGATGAGAACTTCTTTTTAAGCCTTTAGCCGGCCTTAGTATCACACCTGAGTGAGAAGCAGCATATATTACTGAAGCTATTTTTAAAACTAAGCTATTCAAATCCACAGCACAACAGTGAGTACCTAGACAAGTACAGGAGTAACAGAAACAGACACTTAACTTTGTTAGTTTGTTAGATTCCTTAGTTTGTTACTGCAGCTTTCCTTCCACACACAAAATAAACTAAGTATTGGTGCAGAAGAAAAAATGTGACAGTGAGAGGAAAAGAGGAAGTTGTAGGAACCATGGCTTGAAGGAGACAACAGCAAGCTTGCATATAGAAATGAGTATTCTAAATACTCTTTCTTGCATTTAACAGCATGAATTTAAAGGATGAGGTGTCTAGAAAGAATGAATTTTGCCACAAAAAGCACACAACAGAAGATGGATGTAGTTTGATCACTGTGTGCTGATGCAGTCACCTGTATAAATTTTTAGCTCTCCTGCCTGGTTAACTTAAATAAAAGCTGGGGACAGTGGGGTAAGAACAGAACTACAACTGATCCTGACAACAGCAAGAGGGAATGTTTAGCTAGATAAAGGTGCCAACAGTGGAGGTCTGCTCTTACAGAGCACCAGTGAGAGCTGCCACACAGCAGCAGACTACGTATTAACCTCCTGAAAATCCCTGAAGATCTGTCTTGCCAAGAAGTGGGTTGGCAGGGAGGAGGTTTGTGGAATAGCAGAGCCTGCTTTCTAAGCAAGTTTCTCTTCAGCAGTCCCACAACAGCTGGCCTTAGCTATGCTCCTGGAAGCTGATTCAAAGGAGCAAGTTCCTCAGTTCAGAGAAGGCGGCACACTTGGAATTTAACAGGCTCAAACCTGGTTTCTTTGCTTTAGGTAGAAAAAGTCAACATGCTACAGTGATAGGTATCTACAATTGCCAGTAACTGCATTGTTCAGACATGCAGTCATGCCACCTGAGCAGGGCCCACATCAGATCTCACAAGCTAAGCAGGTCAGGCCTGCTGCATGACTGGATCATGTGTCTCTATAGAGTCAGTCTGTTGCAGAACAGTGTTGAAACACTTCTGCCTCACAAGCCATCAAGTGGGAACCCTGCAGTGCTCTGCAAGGGTGCTGGAGTCCTGCAATATACTTATGATGCATCTGCTAAAAGGCAGCAAGTGGACTCCTGTATTAAATGATAGCAACTGCTTCACAAGACACTAAGGATAATCCACGTCCTTGAAACTACAAGCCAAGTGCTGTGTTTTCCCCACAGAAGCTTCCCCCTGTCCTTTTAGTGGAGTACATTAATTTTTCAAACACAGAGAATTGCTGCATATATGTAAACAACATCCTTCAGAAATCCTTGTGTCAGTCATAACTAATTCACGAGGTAAACAGAGGCTTCATGTAAGGCATAGCTAAGTCAAAAAGCCAAACTGATTTAGCAGGCTTTTAAGAGCTAGCAATCTTCTGTGAGCATGACTACAGTAGTACATTGCACACTAATTGTTATACCTTTACAGTAGAGTAGTCATGCCTTCCATCCACTGTAAGCAAAGTACTTGTTAAATAGGACAGAAGTACTGCATCATAAATTTCTGTTCATTCTTCCAAAATTATAGTGATGCAACACCTACCTTTTTATACTGCGGAGAAGGGGGACCACAGACATAGTCCTTCATCTGGTAGCTTCGACAGGTCAGCACCTTTCCCTCTTGAGTGTGCACATTAACTTCTATTGGGACATATAAACCATCTTCAACTCCCTCTTGCCTGTAAAGGACATATATTCCTTTCATGCCAAGTAACTGATGCATCTTTCAAGCAAAGTGTGCAATTAAACACATGGATTTATTATAATACAATTTAAGGCAGGACATTGGTCTGTGCTGTTAACAGACAAAGAAAAGCAAATAAAGCAAAACATATTTCAGTACTTTTTGTGCAAACTTGTTTCACACCCAAAAACAAGTTTTTCAAGAAGCAGCAGTATTCAATTTTATCATTTCATCTCTGTCACTTACAAAGTTAGAGAGAGAATACTTGTAAATTAATTACTCTAGACTGGTAGTCTGAAAGAGAAACACAACCAAAATTAATGAGTCAGGCACATATCATTCATTACCTGCCCCTCAGACAAAGAAACAATTGCAAACTATCTTGCCCATTGTGTTACATTTTAATAAGGGGAAATTTGCACAACTCTTGCAATGCACTTTCCAATGAATAATCCAATACACTCTTTAATTTGCACAAGACGTGAACAGCAAAAATGAGATAGGTCAGGGCAAAAAACATGGTTATTTTTTATTAGCAAAATCATGCTGTCTTAGAAAAACAAAAGCAAACTCAAAACCAAGGCTACTCATTGTCCTTAACAATTGGCATTCAGCCACCATTAAAAATCTGAGGAAATAGTAAGAAGTAAACAAGAAGCTTAAGCAATGCAAGGCAGACCTTATAGCACAATTAACTTTAGATATGAGTCATAGCATGGTTTCTAACCCTGCTCGTCAAATATAATTTTGACAATTCCTATTTTTTTCAAAGACTTACTACCATTTCAAGTTATTTAACGTACATAACACAGGCCATGTTACGTGAGTAGGTTAAGTGCAAGTAGAGACTGGAAGCTAACTGCAGATTCAAGACCAACAGACTACAAAATAAGTCACATGGTTGTGTGAGAACAAGAAAACTGTTAAGTAACATCCTAGGACCTATGAGGAATAAGGGTCATGATTTAGTCTGTAACTTATAGATTTGTGAAGTACGCAGGACAAAAAAAAAAAAAACAAAACTGTCCCTGGGATAGCACCTAAAACGTATTTGAAGCCAAAGGATTCAGCCATCTAAGCAAAAGGTTCCTCTCCCATATTTGTTTTCTATATGTTACATTGTTTTACTAGTATTTCAATTAGTTACATGCAGCATTAGTCATACATTTCCTCCTCTGCTTCTGGATAACAAAGCACAGACTTCTTTACAGAGATTAGAGGATAAAAAAAAAAAGTGGGGAGGGGGCAATAGTGATTTTTTTTCTTGACACATGGCAATTCCAGGAAATAACTTGCTTGAGGACTTACAAGTTTATCTGCTTGCATGCAGCCAGAGAATCCCAAGACCTTCAGCAGGAACACATGCAAGCTCATTTGAGGTGGGTTAGGAGCAAGCCTTAGAAGAATGCTTTCGACTATCATTGTTAAAGCCAAGAACACATCCCATTTCCTTCCATTTCCAGTTCACCTCCATGGCATCAGTGAGGCAGTTGGGAAAAAGTAATCTTTAGTGCTAATGTCCATCCTGCAGCTTTTGCTGATGTTACAGCACTCAACTCTTTACCATCTTAGCAAGCATTAGAATTTATCCACTGTCAAACAAATGCCAGGGATTTGCAATTCTACAGTATGTCAACTCTAAACAGTATGTAATAATAATGGCCAGTCTTCGCGAACGAAGATTTTGGGAAAGGTCTTTTACCTTTCCAGCCTGCGCAATGGATTTTTGAGGTGAGACACAGCATGCGCTGAACTGAGCCCACCCTTTAATCCTAAGGTTCATCTGCTGGGGCCAAGCAAGCTTGGACAATGGCAGTGAGGTCCTCAGGACGTAGGTTTGTTTAGAGTGACCTTCTCATAGATGGATGGCCTCACAGGGCTAACGAGCTCCATCTGCCCAGGGGACCAGGAATCGAACCTGGGTTGCAGCGGTGAGAGTGCCGCATCCTAACCACTAGGCCACCAGGGGTCCCCAAACAGTATGTAAACACTTCTGGAAATCATAATACTGCCCCCATGGAAAAGAAGCAGGCTGCTACTATCAAAAGCAGATGCTGTTGGACAGGATTATCATACTTGTGAAGTTTATGCTTGGTAAATAAGCATGGTAAATAAGGAGTTTTCAGTAAAGGTCAGGAGAAAAGGGGTCAGGATGTTAAGTACTAGTGCAAGCAACAGCAGGGAAACTCAGGAGATCATAAAGCACAGACATGTGAAGCCCTGCCCAACCACAAGAACACCACCTAGATGCCCACCTGCTCTGCTTGGGATTAACACTCCTAGCCAGGACAAGAGTGCTGAGACTGCCCATTCCCATAACGTGCTAACAGACCTTGCAACACTTTCTGTATTTCAGGTTCACTGTAGGCAATGAAAAGCATATTGGAACCAAATTTCATGGCCAGGGTTGTAAGCACGTCTACACAGCACAGTGCAGCCATAACCAAAACTGCAACAGTACCAGAAGCAGGAGAACAGTAATACTGTAGTGCTTTCACTGAGTTTACTACACCCTGCTTCCTTGTTCTCACTCACCCAGACTTCTACTGGAATTAATTGACAGTGATGAACTGCTCTGAACAAACTATCCTTGCGTACCAGAAGCATCATATTGTGCAGGCACTTCCCAAAAGCTGCAACAAGCACATGGCACCAGACAAAGTTTTGGAGATTACGTTCTTAGTCCTGCCTGAGACCCTGAAAGAAGTCTTGCTACTCCTTGTTTTGTTTACCCAAGTGGTCCTCCACACTTCAGCCTGGGAATAACTTGCTCAGTTTTGGGAGCCTTAAACTTCTCTTAATTACCAGGCACAGACAGAACATTTTCCACCATGCATTGTAAAGGTGCAGGCAGGCTCTCCCATTCAAAGAGGGAAACAATTACAGCCCAGCTCCCTGCTTGGATCTTCCTCAAGCTCACAGAAGTTTGAGTCCTTAGAAGACATGACATGTTAAATAATCTCCTCAAAAGGTCCCTTTGCCTGTATTAAAGATCTCTTTCTCTCCTGCAAAGTCTTGTCCTCATTTCTTCCTTTTCTGCTATAACTGAAGTCTACAGATGTATAGAGATAGAAATTGATGTCAGTCTCAAGGAAGGAAATTCTCCCTAAAGCAATGGGAAAAATGACATAGGACAAATACAGAGTTTAGAGTCATTTAAGGGGCATGAAATTGTGAAGACAGGGTTTGTTGTTGGTTTTTTGTGGGGTTTTTTGTTGTTGTTTTTTTTTAAAAAAGGGGCCTGACCAATATATCAGCTTCAAATCAAGGTCCACAGCTGCTCATTAAAACACCCCTAAGTAGCTTTAGCTTGAAAATAAAGCCATCTTAATCACAGAAGTGGTAGAAGTCAATACACATCATGTCAAGTGAATTTCAGAGATTAAAATCAAAAGCATCATTTTGATTCCAACACCAAAACTTCCACACAGCTCTTTATCAAAAATTACCCATGACTTTTCAATCGCTATTCAAAGTAGTATAAGACAGCAAAAGTTAAGTCACCTACTTATCCAGCGAACTTAAATTGCAAGTGTTCATTTTCCACACTATTCCCCATACTTCGTCTCCAGGGCTCTGAACAATGGTAGCTGTACCTCCATGCCAGACAGAACTCGTCCTGCCTTGATGATGGCCAAACTCGAGCTTAAAATCCTGCAAATGAAACCAATGCAGAGAATCAATTTTCACTTAAGCTAAGGGCTGTTGGCTATTCTTGACATGAAAAGGGCAGCTAAAGGACAGTCTACAAGCAGTCAGTTGGGGCCACAGAAGGAAGAATGGACAGGCGGGACATGATCCAGCTCCCACCTCATGAGGGGCTGAAGTCAACTTTTTCCACCTCCCCATGAGAAATGGCAGCCTTGGGACAACGGGAAGAGAGGTTAGGCAGAGAGCACCACTGATAAAAGGCTTGGTCTGTAGAGACCTGGATCAACATCCAAACCTCTTAGTTGTCTGGCCTAAACAGCAACCAACCTCTAGCAGTGAGAAGAAAGTGGAGGCAGCCCTTTCTCAAGAGTAGCACGCATACCTAATTTTCCAGTAAACACAGCAGTGCTGAAGAAATGTCAGCTTGACTTTTGTCCATGTTGGCAGCGACAGGACTGCTGATGTGCTTACCAGAAGGAGGGAACTGTCTACTGCCTTCTTGTTCCCATCAAAAAAGTGCCTACCTGGTGCCCATTCTTTTGCAGTTTTTGGTGCTCTTATGAGATTTAAATGCTATTATGCAGGATCCAGGAAAATAGAAAAGAAGCCTAAAAGATGGTGAGTTCTGGGACTTGTCCTCATGCACTAATAAAATTACCCAATTATAAAACACATCCCTCATCACCCAACTGGAACATTTCTGGGTATTTTTAAGCCAAGGCAAATGCCTCCTTCAGTGAGCTTATTCAGGTTTTTGCAAGTAGAAAACATTCTTTTAGAAATCAAGTATCACTTTTTCTTACAAGTATACTTCAATATTATTATATATGCAAGAGAATAATGGATTCTTGCATTTTACGAGTGTAATTTCCTGTCTGACTCCATACACTCAGTTTCTTTTCCTACTTATTAGTCAATTTGTAGGACCTCCCCTAGCAGTAGAGAAGAGGAAAAAAAATATCAACCCAACCCAAATCAAAACCCAACAAGCTTTAAGGAATGCTACCTGCTTAACTGCAACAACAAAATCTGGCAAAGGCAAAAAGGACTAAAAACAACAACAAAAATAAACCCCAAAGCTATGCAGCCCCACAGCTTTGCTTATTTCTCTTGATCACCATGCTTTAAGCTAGGAGATAACTTTGATTTGAAATATACACATGTATATATCAATATTCCCTTTGAGACATATCAGCTTCTTGTTATATATCCTAATAGATATATAAAGGTTGCAAAAAATTGAGCAGTTGGAGGCTTACACAAAGAAGAACAGCACTGATCAGGACACAATCAATTTGTGCGTGTGTGACAATCAGCAACCGAGCAAAGCAACACTGTTTACTCCATCAATAGAGACATCTTCCTTCCCCATAAAATGTCCCCTATTAAACTAATTTCACTAGGAAGAAAGTTTACTTAGATGCACTGAGTTATTTGCACACAAGTAAATAGTCCAGTCACATCACAGACTGAAGCTACAGATGTGGACAAGTGCATGCAGGGCAGCACCAAGGAAATACTTGGATAGAATCAAATACTCTCACAGCAGTCTAGGTTGGTGGTGGGTTTTTGTTTGTTTGTTTGTTTTTTCCCCCACCATGTGGGCAACAGGAGCAAACACTGCTGGGAAGAGAGAAAAAAAACCACATGAGATACTTTATTGGGTCAAGAGATTGGTCCTTCTTCTAAGTACCAGTGTAATACCCTTTCTGTGCTTGTTACACATCCCATTTCTTAACAGTTTTTGGCTGAAGATTAAAAAAACTGTAAAAAGTAAAACCAGAGGTAAATTAATTTAATACTTTAGTTTAGCCTCCAAAGTACTCTGGTTACAGGCTGATTTTCCTTTTTTTAAGCCCATGTAGCACTACCATAGAGGAATGAATAGGAATCAGCTCCAACCTTTGTTCACTTCCTTACTCCCAAGCATCAGTTATTTTCCAGTTGGATGCAAGGGAGTGAAGCCACCCGGTGTTGGCAGGGAACATAGCAATTGGTCAAAGGCTGGCTAGAGAAATCAGGGCCTGACTGTCTGCTCTGGAACAGCCAACCTGCAGCACGACAAGAGGTGCTAACTGCATAACCTGGAAATCGACCTGAAAGCCAGAAGGAGAGCTGAAGCTTTCCTTTATTCAAAGATAAGTGTGCAATACTCCTGCTTTCCTTCTCACTTTCAAGGTCTAATCCGGCAAGGTGCTGGGCTCCTGGCACGTTTGGCTCAGTGGTATCTCTAAGTGCCACATGCTTTACAGGTGCAGGCCTCACGTGCCAGGCTGACAGTCCCAAAAGATACCAACTATCTGACTGTAGTGAGTTTATTAATGACAAGGTTTCAGAACTTCTTCATACTCTCCAACATAGACTATTTCCTGCCAGTTACCCCAAGAGAACCTTCAAGTTATCCTTAAGTGGTATCAGTTGATGCTCTGCTCCTCCAAGGATCCTTCCAGTTGTACAGGTCTGTGTATCAACAGCTTAATGATCACAAGCTCGTGTTTCCAAGCCTACACTAAAGCCAAGCTGATACACTACCATTTAATAACTCAGACTGAGGAGAACTGCCCTATAGTGCATGAGAAGGTGTCGGCTGCAGATGTGCAGTGCTGGATGAAATCATGACATCTCACACGTGCCCGATATATCTCACAAGGGAGGGCTCCTCACCTGTACCCAGAGTGGATGAGGGGAAGGAGAAATTTTGATTTTTTTAACAAAACATCATCCTTTTAAAACTGGCAGAAGCTTTTCCCATAAACCCAGCTGAGCACCTAGAATCACAGAATACTTCGGGTTGGAAGGGACCTTAAAGACCACCCTGCCATAGGGGGGATGACACCTCCCACTAGACCAGGTTGCTCAGATCCCCATCCAACCTGGTCTTGAACACTGCCAGCAATAGGGCATCCTATCAGGGCAACCTGTGCCAGTGCCTCACCAGCCTCACAGCAAAGAATTTCTTCCTGCTACTTTATGTTTCCAGGTCCATAGTGCTTTACACGCAGGGTCATGGCTGGCAGGTTAATCCCGGTCAGATAACCCCGCAGCAGAGGGACTATCCCAAACGCTCCTTCGGCTGCAGGCAGCCCTGGCAGCGGGCCCCGGGTGTGTCAGGGGCAATGGGACAGAATCGTTAGGGTAGGAAGGGACCTCTGGAGATCACCCAATCCAACCCCCCTGCCAAGGCAGGGTCATCTCGAGCAGGTGACACGGGAACGCGTCCAGGTGGGTTTGGAATGTCTCCAGAGAGGGAGACTCCAGGACCTCCCTGGGCAGCCTGTTCCGGTGCTTGCCACCCTCAACGCAAAGTTCTTCCTCATGTTGAGGTGGAACTCCTTGTGTTTTAGCTCATGACCATTGCTCCCCGTCCTGTCGCTGGGCACCACTGAAAAGTGCCAGGCATCGCCCTCTCGACCCCCCCGCCTGAGCCGTGCTGGGCTCCCCCTGTACCCGCAGGAGGGACCGGCCGGCTGCAGCACCGGACTCCACGTAGCCGTGGGGGACACGCAGCTCCAGGGGGACATGCGGGTATCCTCGGGCCATGCGGGCTTCCTCAGCCCCCGCTCCCACCCGCGGCACCGCCCCGCCGCCCCCCGCACGCACCTGCAGGCGCGCCAGGGCGTAGAGCGCGGCCGAGGGGTTGCGCAGCAGCAGCCGCTCCCGCAGCAGGTTGCTGCCGTACGCGTAGTACAGGAAACAGCCGCTCTCGCCCCCGGGCTCCTCCGCGCCGCCGCCCGACTCCATCGGCCCGGCCCAGCGCGGCCCCACCGCCGCTGTAACACCGCCCTCCCGCCCCGCCTTCCTCGCGGCTTCCGCCGCCGAGCGGGGCCGTGACGCAGGAGCGGCCGGGAACGCCTCGGGAGCGCCTCGTGCGGGCTCCTGGCGGGGCAGGGACGTGAGCGGGGAGGGTGCCTCTCCTCCATCCAGCCGGGAGCAGGGAAGAGCGGTGCCCCCGCGGCCGCGGCACCGCGGGATGCGGAGCGGGTGCTGTGGAGGCTGCGGGGGCGAGGCGCACAAACCCCGCCGTGAGCTCAGGGACTCGGTGTCCTCGTTTGTCACCTGACTTAGCTCGTAACATTTAAGTCTCGGTTTGAATAGCATGCAAAATAACACAAGCTTGAGGAGAAAACTTTCACCTTGTTCAAAATCTACATGCTTTTGGAATGAAAAATCATCACAATTGCTGTTGAAACTCTTGAGTGTTGAGAAAAAATGGCGCTTTTTTAAATGCAGAATGTCAAAAGTTTTAATAATTTTAAAAGTATTATGAAAGGCTGGTTTGGGTTTTTTTTTTTAGAAGAAGGCCATTTTGAGATTAAAGAGTAACAATTGTTACATGCCTCATTACAATTCCTGTGTAAGATTTTTCTGTTTAGAAAGCAATGTCCACCTCAGCTCACAAGGGACATCTTGTAGCAAGTGCAAACAGGTAGCTGGAAAACGTCCCGATCAGCTGTTTCCCCAGGGGCATCCTCTGTGGGGAGGAACATGCCATCAGCGAGCAGGGCCTGTGGACCCTGGTACTGAAATGGGCATCCTGGCTGCCTCTGAAATAAACAGTGATGATTTGTAAATGCATTCAGTGAGAAGCAAAATAGTGCAGCTTTTCCCAGCTGGGAGTGCTCAGAGCAGAGTAAGCTGGGAACATGGAAGAGTAAAAGGCGAGAAGATGGGGGGTGTGCACAGGTAGAACTGCAGCCCCATGCACAGAGGCACTTCCTCTCCTTCCCTGACATAAGCAATGCTCAAATGGGACAGGAGGAGCCCTGATTACTGGCTACCCCAAAGCATGAGCTGCTGAAGCAATACATAGATATGTATAATACAGCCATGAAAGGCTGTAATGAACAACAGCGTAACAATTAATGGTGAGACACCACTCATTAATGCTGTTAAAGTAGCTCTCAGCCTGAGCTGGCTTCCTGAGCAGAGGCAGCTGGTGCGGGATTTGGCACAGGATCCCTGGCAGCACACTGCTCAGCCTCTCTGGGCACATCCTTGCCCATGCAATATGGAAGGGAAAGCAGTTAATTCCTTTAATGATGTGTGCAGCACTTAATTTGAGTCCCTGCTTTTGCTTTCCCAACACAGGCATTGGGCAAGGCAGATTCATCATAAAGCACATAAAGTGATAAATGTGATTCTGATCCTTCCTGACTAGCAGCTTTCCATTTTTAGGGATTATTTTTCTTATGTAGGAACAAGTATTGTAAAGTAAGAGGGGTTACACAGGTCACAGGATTATATAGCAAGATTTCTTCACTCTCACTCCTTACAACAAGCAGTAGTTGATCCTATCTTTTGAAAATGTGCTTCTGGTATATGCTTTTAGCTCCTTTTCCCTAAGGAAATGCAAACTACATGAGAAGTGTCGCTCTCTCATCTTCCATCAGCTTCTGGACTGTTGGCTAATTTCAACCAGAAAGGAAAAGGTTTCAAAGATAACTGTTTCTGCTGGTCTCAAGAAAAGAGGCAGGGGATGGCTGTGAGACAGCAGGGATCCCACGGGAAAGACTTCCAGAGGGGCCCCTAAAACCGCAGGGACCAAGCCTGCTGGTGGGCACGTTTTCCAGGCCTTAGTGTGTACTGTGCTACATACCTGGGCTTGCTATGAGCTGTCCCTTGTGAGCTGAGGTGGGCATTTCTTTCTAAACAGAAAAATCTTACATAAGAATTATAGTGAAGCATGTAACAATTGTTACTCTTTAATCTCAAAATTACCTTCTTCTAAAAAAAACACAACCAGCCTTTCATAATACTTTTAAAATTATTAAAACTTTTGACATTCTGCACAAAAAATGCCATTTTTTCTCAACACTCAAGAGTTTCAACAGCAATTGTGATGATTTTTCATTCCAAAAGCATGTAGATTTTGAACAAGGTGAAAGTTTTCTCCTTAAGCTTGTGTTCTTTTGCATGCTATTCAAACCGAGACTTAAATGTTACGAGCTAAGTTAGATGACTGACAAAGGAGGACACTGAGTCCCTGATCCCATGGCTGGGTTTGCGCACGTGGAAACCTTCATTAGGAAAGGCAGTTAGCAAAATTACAGTCACATTTATGGAAGGAGAATCAATTTAAAACACTGCCACTTACAATGCTAAGTATTTAACCCCTCAAGAAGACCTTTTCAAACTAAAATCTGTTGAGGTTTCCATTTTCTGTAGTCTGTACTGAATACCAAACCTATTCTATGACAAAGGAGCAGTAGCCAGTATTTCCAGGAGCATGGTTTTGGTATGCACGGTGTCTAGATTTCGATTCAAATGCTATTTGAATTATCTAGGTAAACCCCAGATATGGTGATTATTTTTAATCGAACTGAGTCAATCAATTTGCACTTCTGAAGTCCCTTTCTTCCCCAGCATGGCCCACGGTAATTTGGAAACAGCACACTGAGCCTCTCAACTATTCATGAGGGTGATAGACATGAGACTTGAATTGGAAGGGCTGACACTGCCAGTGTGGGTCAGTGTTGCAGTCAGCTTTGGCTTTAAACTATCTGGAAAATATAAACCTCGATTCCCAACACATTTCATTAAGCTTTTTTTTATTAAAGCCTTTATTAAAACTGCAATAGATAGAGCACGCAAATGTGGACTGCGTGCCCTAAGCCAGTGGGCAGTGAGATGGCCAATATCTACCGCAGAGCACTGGACAACTCATAGAGACGAGGGCTCCTGTGTCTACAGAGTATACAAAGCATACTTTAAAGGGGGACTATTAAATCTGAAACCTACTGTGAGAAAAAAATAAAGAGGTTTTTGGCACTAAAAAGATGCAAAGGCATCTTTACAAATGCTCATTACAAATCAGACTATCTGTAACTTCTCGCCATAGCACCGTGAGGTGGCACAACTTAGATTCCTCTTTGTTTTAATATTCACAGACCTGAGGTGGAAGAAAAAGAATTTTCTATGAGCCACAAAAGGGACAAAATGCCCGAGGCAGGGCTGCTGAGGCATGTGGCATGTATGACCCTGAGAGGGGCTCCAGCCTGGGTCTCCCTGGTGTCATCAGCGCAGCATGGCCAGTCTGATGGCAAGGCAGCACGGGATGGAAGTGAGTTCAGTCTGGAGGGAAAGCTTTGCAAGTCTTTCTGCTGATGTATGTCCAAATCATGGCCAAATGGCTGTACATGTGTAGGAAAATAGTTGGTCACTTTGGGCAGACCTTGCTTTGAAAACAAGTTTCCAACTGAAAAAACAGGGTGAAGGACCTTTCCTGTAGCAATTTGAGTAGAAACCTGCTGGGCTTTGGTCATGCTACTAGATTTCACACTTCTGGTTCATGACCTTTTCAGGTGCAAATTAACTCCAGGAGAGGAGGGTGTTAAATGAAACTCTGGGGGTTTTTTTGAGTTAAATCAGTTCAGAGTCAAAAGCGATCTCCAGAGCAGCTGATGTGAGACCTGTGTTAACCTGTTTGAAGCCCCAAACAATTTAGAAGCATTGTTTCCCCTTGCATGTAACTACAAAACCTGCGCAGAGTAAGCAGTCAGGAGTACGCCTCCTGTTCGGGACCTTCCCAAACATGGGTGAAAGCTCTGGATATCCACAGCTATTTGTGTATTGTCCATGGAGAAGATCAACAGGATTACTGATGCACAGAAAGCAGGAATTTGTTTCCATCACGTTTTTAACCCTAGATGCAATATATTCCTGAGCATATCCAACTTAGGTTTTAGGGAAGGAAAAGGGAAATCAGTAAAAAATAAGAAATTAGGAAAAAATGAGATGCAGTAGGGTAAGTTAAACCTGCTGAAATGTCTGCCAGTCACTCAATGTGACTCTCCATCACTCCCTCTACACCCCATGGTTGTCACAGCATGAGCCATAATTGATATTGAAGAAGAAAAAGAGAACCTGGAGGAATAATAAGGGCAACTGATGCAAATAAACTGCGTGTGCAGTCCCCCCCCCCAGCTTTTCTCTCCTCCCTGAGGAGCCCTAGTAGGATGTGCTCTGCAATTAGTATTTCATCGAAATTATACCTTTTTGCTGCAAGATCGTTACAGCTGGTGGTAGCTCCTTAATACAGTGTGCAAGGTCTGGGGGTCTGCAGAGATTTCATGTTCATGCAAATGAATGCAAATGATTTTACAAGGTGTCATGATGTTGCTGTGCTTGTTCCTTCTCTACAATAAAGGGACCACGCCGTCCTGCAGAAACCCAGCCTCCTTCCCCCCCCTGCCTGACCGAATAGCCACCCGTGGGGCTTGTGGCTCAGCTCCACTGGCAACCAGGAGGGATATCCATCATTCATTTCGCAATTCTGTTTTTACAGAATGTGCAGTCATTTAGGAGAGATGAACTATTAAAGTGGCTAGGTCTGTGCATGTATCCACCTGCCTTTTTTTTTTGGCTCTGCCTGATGCCAGAGTGAGTTTTGGGCCCATCCTGAAGCAGCCCCAAGCTCTCCCTGGCTGCTGCACACTTAGTGTGGTCCTGAGATGTCACTGTGTGATCAGTGCCATCCAAGGTGGAGGAAGGGGCAAAGGAAAAGGACAGTCATGTGAATCCCCCTTCCAGATCAAATGTTAGAAGGAGGAGGGTGTGCATCCGTGTCTTGCTTTTGCTTGTAACTCCTGGAGCTCAGGTCTGTACAGACAGACTGTGACGAGATTCTTGCTGCTTGAGCTCCTTCTAACTCTCGGAAGGACAAAACGTATGGGATCTATTAAAAAAAAAAGGCCCTAAAAATTTAATGTGTATGAAATCTGGATACATAAAAAGTGGGAAAGAGCTTTTGCAAACAGATTCCAGTGCATGCAGTCCTGGCGTGCA